AAGACATTCTTTTAGCATAAAGGACCAGCATTCAGGTAGCATGGATTCATTCACTTTTTTAATGGTAACTTATTAACTTTATCAATGCTAATTAATTGATTTTATCCATGCTATCAGAAATATTATATATTAATGTTATGACCTTACATATTTGGAAGATATCGTGTTATTGAATTGTATCAATATCAGTCCTGTAGCACAGTGTCTTGCTTGTAAATCTCTGACCTCACATTCATTTCCATTGCCATTCTTTAAGAAATGGCTCAGTGCCTCCTGACATTTAAAGTGCACCACTCTGGTGTAAATCAGTCATTTTGGTACGATTCAGAATTAATTAAAAAAAAAATACAGTTACTGCACAAATGTGACTGGTGAAACTACTTGTTTTATTATTGATGCATTCTTTTTTATAGCTGATATTATCATTAGAAATAGCCAATAATGTTATATTGGCCAAAAATGTGCATGCATACTTGAAAATAATATTAATTATACTTGATTCTAATATTACAAAACCAATGCCGTGAAATCATTACCCTCAGATTGTGCTTCGTGATGCACTGATGCATTTTTTACACTCCTTTTAGTGTTTGTGTTTTAGGATATATTAGGGTTTAAGAGGGGTTTGTTTTTGGCTTTAGTTGGTTACTCCACGTTTAGATGTAGCTTGGAATGAGTAAAGAGCCAGCGCGGATGCAGGTAGCAGTAAAGCAGGTATAAATAAAGTCCCTCCGCTCTCACCTGCTCTGCTCTGCTTGCGAATGAACAGCACCGGCGCAATTAATTACACTTCACTACTGCTGACAGAATCCCTGTGGATATTTCAACTATTTCTGCCTGCTATTATTCACCTCTGTTTCAGGCTTGTAGATCATCTGCAGTCCATTCTGTAGTGTTTCTGTCGTCTCTCATCTCCAGCCTTTTATCACCTGCTACCAAAGCACTTCACTCCTCACTGTATGTGAATATGAAGAACAGAGTGTTCTGTAGGAAGACGGTACTCTCTGTCGCCTTTCTCTCTCTCTCACTCCCTCATGTTTTACAGGTTTTAATCAGTAAATGTGCTGTGTGTGTATGGATATACTTAGTGATCAGCTTTGTTTCTAGAGATGCTTATGTAAGCTGAGCTTCTATTTAAGATGCCTCTGTAACCCTTTGGCTTCTAGCTTGCCTGTATATCTGTTGTCACCTCATAACTTTTTGTTCTTCCTTTATTTTTTTTAAACACCGTTTGTTGTTTAAATACGGTAACTGTGCAAGCCAGAGACCACCGTTCATTTATTTAATTTCCATGAAAGACGGCCAGGAGATATTTCTGAGCTGATTAGATATAACACAATCTAGTTGCATAAAAATAGGTGAATAAACGGGTGTTTTCAAAACAAAAAAATATATTAAAAAATTAAAAGAAAATGGGGCTCCTCACAGCCCTGGAAGACCCCTATCAGATAAACAGTACTGCAGCTATTGAGGCAGTCAATGTAGCTCCAAAGATAAATAAAATAAATTAATGAGATTCATCATGAAAGCAAGTAATCAGTCAATCTTGCGATTTTTGAGGAAGAATACAGTACAGGACTGTGCAAAAATGTCATTTTTTTCCAGTGAAAACAGCAATTAAGTACAAGTTATTCATTTTTCAGGAGACATTTCTCAGGAGATTAGATAGAAGATAATCCACTTGTATGAGGAAGAAGGAAGTCAAAGGAAAATAAGTGAAAAAACAAAATTTCCAAAACTGGAGTTCAAAATAATAAGATTAAGAGAGAAAATGGGACTCATAACAGCCATGCAAGACCTGGTAGACACCAAACCTGTCCCCGTCACAGCACTTAAAGCTTTTATCTTTGAGAGAGGAGAAAATCAAGCTGCTTTAGATCTGAAAATAAATCCACAGGTGTTTCTGTCCATCTTTCCACTGTGAGAAGATGACTCATCGCTATGAGTCTGAAAGGATGCGTAGCCGTCAAGAAGCTCTTACTTAAGAAAAAGCAAATAGACCAAAAATAAAAACACTGCAAATCAAATGAAGCTGCTGGCATTCTCCGAGCAATGGACTGACCACCCCAGAGTCCAGACCTCAGCATCACTGAATGTGTTTGGGATTATTTGGATTATGAGAAATAGAAAATGCAACCAACTACTAAGACTGTAATAAAGTCAAAGAGTGGACACACTAAATACTGAAAAATGTGAAATTCTATTTAGTTGTGAAGGCTTCTGTGTAACCCTCGGTTAAATATTTTTTGCTTTTTTATTGACACTGAAAAATGAATAACTTGTACTTAATGGCTGTTTTGACTAGAAAATTCTAGAAATGAAAGGTGGTCTCTTAACTTTTGTACTGGACATGCATGAGTCCCATGATGAATGGGCCAATAGAGGTGGTCTAAAATTACTGAATATGATGTGTTACTTTAGCTTGTTCAAGCTGAGAATGATTTTGCCTCTCAGAGTTATCATTTTGGAGATACAGATTGCCGCTGTTGTATCACATATGCATTTTTTTAGGTCATTTCAGTGCAACAGCTGTCCTTTGTGTACACTGTGTGAACATTTTGCACAAGAAGTATGTTATATCTATCTATCTATCTATCTATCTATCTATCTATCTGTCTGTCTGTCTATCTATCTATCTATCTATCTATCTATCTGTCTATTTGTGTCTGTCTGTCTGTCTGTCTATCAATCTGTCTGTCTATCTATCTGTCTATCTGTCTATCTATCTGTCTATCTATCTGTCTATCTATCTGTTAATCTATCTATATATCATCTATCTATCTATATGTGTGTCTGTCTGTCTGTCTATCTATGTATCTGTCTGTCTGTCTGTCTATCTATCTATCTATCTATCTATCAAACAAAAAAACAACAGAAAACAATAGAAACCTGAAAAAATATAACTGTGATGAAGTGCGGCTTCTTATTGTATCTCTAAACAATGAACGTCAATAAAAGCCAAATTCTACATACATCCTTTAAATCAGACCTTATGCTAAATTGGCTCTTTAGCCGCGTGTATCTAGAAATCAACAACTTTACAGTTGCACTCCAGACCTGCTGAGGACTGTAACGTGCAGGACAGAGTCTCACTACAGCAGCACGGTGCCTCCAGCTATTCCCCGCAGTAACGGACATTAAACAGAGCTCAGGGAAACACCAGACTGTTTAGTTTCATGCAAATGTGCTTCACCGCTACCGTGCCACATTCGTTCTGCCATCCAGGAAAAGGGCAGAAGAGGAGAGCAGAAGAGGGCGGCGGGCTGGTCAGGAAGTAGCAGGCATGCTCCATTTGTCGGATGTATCGAGTGTGGTTGCTATTGGCAGCAGGAGGAGAACCGTGTACAGTTTGTAGAGTCAGCCTGCACTGCTGAAGCTACAGCTGTATTTAGTCACTATATCTAATATCTAATATTTACTGTTAGAATATTATAACAATGTAATAATAATCATTATTATTGTTATAAGGATATTATAGGATTATTGAACTTATGTTTAGATTTTAAGTCATTTTATTAGAGCAATAATCTTATTCTATTGGCAGATAATTGTGCTTGTTTCAAAACATAATGCAGATTGTTTTAAGCATTAGAAAAGGAACATTTTAAAATTAAAACAAGTGAAAATGTCTAGAAATAAGTTAATCTTACAATAGTCTGACTGCAGTTTCATAATGAGATATAAGATATATTAACTAAATTTAAAATCATTTTTAAGATGTCAATTTGTTTTGCGGTTTTTAAGGTCAAAGAGCCTCCACAGATAAAGATTCTGTAGTAATTAAAATGAGCTTTTTCTTCACCTCCAAGATAAGAACCATTTAGGAAACCTTTATTGCGCAAGCGTGCACTAAAGTCTTCATTAGAAGGGTTCACATGGAGAGCGTGAGAACATTTGTGAGCTGTAAACACCGTGCTGCACTGTGTCATGCCTCAATTCAGTTTGACCAATGATGACCAATGCAGGTACAAACGGACGTTAGCATTTAACACTGAGGGACCTCTGAAAGAGTGGTGGAAGATGAAAAGATTTCTCTGAGATGAGTCTTGTGTCTTGTGTGCTGTGGGTGTGCTGCATATTGTCACTGTCAGATAAAAAGTGAATCATTTTTGTCTTTTAATTTTTTTTTTTTACACTGTTTGAAAATGCAAGATTTACATGGTGAGCATTTCATCATGAATGGGCCAAAATGACTTGGAATAAATCAGTAACCTCAACATTGACATATATTAACATCTATTTCTTCCATAACTTAAGAATAACTCTGTTTGCATCATAGTCCATGTAATTACTGAACAATAAGCCTGTAATTATAAGCCTGAAATTTTAAGGAGGTAAGGATGTTTTCTTGTTGTTGTTTTATTGCTTTCCATTAGCATTTCGGTTGTTTTCTGTACCATTACCATTTACAGCAACAATGAGCTTAACTGAATTTCATACTGTTGACTACTGACATCACTCCTCAGTGGAAAAAACTACTGCACTGAATTTACTTGGTTTAATTTGTCTTTTGCTTTATTTATTTTTGTGTTGATGTCATATTTTATTCATATGGAAATGATGTACGTGTGTGAATGCCACTGTGGACCCTTTATGCTAAAACTCTTGAGTCGTATTCCTTCAGCATAAAATCTGAAATCTTCCTGAGTGAGTTTTAAAGCTGTACATGTCTCCCCCAGAAAAAAGCCCATCTCATTATCCCCCGCTGTAATTTCTCTCCTTCATAATACCTGTGGAGTGTATCTGACTGCTAGTCATTATGTCATTGCCTCACACCACGTCTTCAGGCTGACCAAACGCTAAAGAAAAGCTTACCGCAAAGCTTTTAAAGACGTCGAGCGCGAGAGGAGACCGCGTACGCGTCGTAAAAGCAGACGCTGTGCCGTTTTCCTCTGGCTCAGATTCAGAATCCTCGCTGAAGCGCCTCTGCATTGCCACACTGTTCAAACACCCTCATCACATACGAAAGCCATGAGTCATATGAGGGGAGCTGAGCTTAC